GTGCTCACAGCTCAGAGCCTGGAGCTTCCTTCAAATTCTATTTCTCTCTCTCTCTCTCTCAGCCCTCCCCACCCCCCACCTCGTGCTCTGTCTCTCAGATATAAATAAATGTTAAACAATTGTTTTAAAAAGTATGTAGCTTTTAATGGAAGTCTTTCTTAATTTAATATTTTGACATCTGTTTATACTTTAAACTTCAAACAACTGGGACATCTGCCCTTCTTCTCCTTCAAATGCAATCCCTTAACCCCAATTCCTCTAAGGTACTTGCATTCAGATCATTTCCACTAGAACAGAAAAGTAAGAAAACGAGACAGTGCCTGAAAATCGGGACCCAAACTCATTGAAAATCCATATAAGTATTTTGTTTGATAATGAAAATCTGGCCTCCCCTTCAGCTATTCTTCAAGTTAAGATTCCAAAATAGTGTATGAAATAGTGAAACCTAAGTCTGACAAACTGCACATCTCACATGTTTGAGGCAACGAGTGTGAACTGAAAACACTCATACGAGCTATCTAGACTGGCAAATATTCCGTGATCTAAATGCATCTGAAAAATCCCAGGTTTGATGCATGGGAGGCTGCCCCAGATCTGAATGAATCCCCATTTCATGCACTTAAAATAATAGCATCGCTGTTCTACTTTTTGTGAGATAGTCTTTCTGTTTAGAGTACCCTTTCCCTTATGAAGCCCTTTGGGGTTAAAACTAAAAATCCATTTTCGTGATTCTAATTTTTATTTAACTTAAGGCAGACAAAAGTACCAGTTATCCTAGCTAGATAATCTAATGGAGTGTGTAATCGGGGTCCATCTGGTCCCAGAGTGGCTGAGTGCAGTGGCCTCAGGAGAGCGGGGAGGGTCATTTTGCATGTCTCAGTGAGGACAGGGGAGACATGGCAGGGTGGTGGCTGTGGTTTTCATGACATTGAGGGGTCACTTTACACCAGTGCTCTTTCCCTTTTCTTTTTCATGCGTGCTTCCCCAACTTGCTGGTGACAGGGTTCAGGACAAGCTACTCCCAAATATGGAACTTTGGCAGAGTGAATATTTTTTAACTGAAGGAATTTGAGATACGGCAGGTGCAGGAAGGACTTTCTGACCTTCCTTTGGAGCAGGTCGTAAGAACCTAGTGTCTACACTCGAAGGAAAAAAACATCCTTATCTCCAAAGATAAAGGGATATGGAGAGGAATCTGAATGAACAGGCTGCGTGAAGCTTCCCCAGCTTACTATTCTTAGCTCGTATCCTTTTTGTCCTATTGTATTTTTTTCCCCACGACTCTTTACTCTTTATCAAATCTAGCACAAAAACACTAAGGCCTAACTATTTCTTCAGGCCTTCACTTCCTCATGAAGGCTCCCGTGTTACCTAAAACTTACACCCAACACATTTGTATGCTTTTGTTAATCTTTGTTACAGAGGCCCAGCTGAGAACCAAATCGGGTAAGAGGAAACAATATTTTTCCTCCCTTGCAGCATCAAGAGTTGCTTTTCATAGCTTAAGCCTCAAGACCATCCAGGGAGGAAGAGAGTGAAGGTAGTGAGATTCACGAACGGGAGTTGAATGGATGTCATCTCCAACAATCAATAAGAACTTGTTAGTTACCAATTTGTTTCCCATTCCAAGGAGTATCTCTGCATTCCAAGGGTCTGGGGGTGAGAGAGATGGAGGGATATAGTAACAGGGAACCAACCTAGGAATAGTTGGGTGTTTTGTGTGAAACTTCTGAGGTGTTATTATCTCTTTTAGCTAACAAAAATATTACTTCTTAAAAAATTAGTCTTTTGGGAGTTGTGTGGTTACTCACCCACTCCCTCCAAACATCCCTCATACTTTAGACTTATGAATTCCACCTATTTTTTAAAAACAAAACTTCCCCAGAAAATTACTTTATGTCATCAGTATACCACAGTATTATCTTATGCCTTTAGTAAAGATACACTTTAAAGTTACCACTTCATACATAACTAGCTAAATCCCTTTTTAGCTTTTTCTAGATGAGGTAAAAAGATACTTTTAGCTTTCTCATGGGCCTTTTCCCCTTAGCTTTTCGGTAATATTCAAAGATGTATGTGGAGCTCTATGGTTCTTTTAAAAGGAGAAAGTCATACAAAGCCTATGCTGTGATAACAGTTTGAGAAATAATGAGAAAATGGAGGAATTAGTTGAGAATGTCTCAACGCAGTCTTCTCTCTGCTGAATCTCTGCATCATATGAAAATGCTGACTTAGGTTCTATTTTCTATTTTTTAGATTCTAATCTTTTAAGATGGCACTTGAAATTATATTAGAGAGCTCATGGGATATCATAAGTGCATAATCAATGATAAATAGATATTTATGAAGGAGATTTGGGAGTTATTAATCAATATACCTGTATATCCTTGGCTCTCCAAGTTTAATCCAAGCATAGTTAATCCAAAATCAATTTCTAAGAAGGTTGCTATTCAAAACCAGGGATCTACAATAACACTTTTTCTTGGTCTGGGGAATATTTTATAGAAATAGGATTTGTCTTCTGTTATGCCTTTGGAGTGTGTATTTTTTGCTTACCCATCTCTGGCGCCCAGGTAAACTAGTCCTTTATTTAGGAGTTGAGTTTTATATTAAGTAACTTACATGAAAGAATCTCTATGAAAGTTGTTCTAGCATTGAGGATATCTAGCATTGAGGTTAGTGACTACAAGAGAAGAAAAAAGTACAAAGAAAGATTTTATAGGAGTGCCTTGAATCTAGATTTCTCTTTGTTGAAAAGATAAAACCATTTGGAAATCTTGAATTGTCAGGGAAAACAAAGGTGGAGCTTGGCTTTTACTGCCAAATTTAATTTTCACCCCCAGCTCTCGATGGTGGTAAGAACTCCTCAGAAAGGTCAAAATGTATTGATTTTCCCATAAAGCATTTGTTTAAATCAGATTACACAAAATAGTGGCAGAGAGGAGGACAGGCAGATTGACGAGCAATTTTCTTCTCAAGTTCTATTTTGCCTCCCTCTGTTCTAGGAATTCATTAATTTCAGTTTAAGACACAATGGATTTGTAGAAAAATAAAGGAGATATCTGGAGGTGTGATTTATATAGAAATCCTTAGAAACAGTAAGTGCATCCTAACAGTGTTGACTAATGTGAATAACTATTTTTTTTTCTATTAAGAAGAGAGGAATGTACCCCTGTACTGAGTACACTATGGGCCAGGAATAGTGCATTTTACAGGTGGGCATCTAATCTGTATAAGAGCTCATAAAGTAAGTATTATATTTTCCATTTTACTAAACAGAAAACTGAGACATTAAAACAAAGTTACATCTCTAGGGTAAGGATGAGGAATTGCGTGGCAGGTGCACATGAAACAAGGTGCCATAAAATGATAATCACTAAATTTGGGTGATGGGTACCTGAAACATCATGATACTATTTTCTTTATTTTTAAAATACATTTGAAATTTTCTCAAGTAAAAGTTTCTTAAGAAATCACTAATAAATGTCAAGTTCAGATCCACTCTCTTGTCTTCAAGCTTGTGCTCTCTTGATCATGTCACATACCTAATAATTTCTAAAAAGCTGGACAGCAAATTTCAAGCTGGATAATAAACCAGGAATTTAAATTTTATTTTAGAAAGTTAAAAATTGCTTGTTTTATGTTCTCAAAAAGAACTGGGTCTGTGTTAATCTTAGTTTTGTATTTATTCAATGAGGATGTCTTTCTTTCTATTGAAAATTTCTTAAATGTCCTGGTGTTATTTAATTGTGTTTCCTGAAATGACCCCTTTATCTCTTGCTGTTTTTAAAGAAGACATTTAGATATTCTAGACATTTGCCGTGGATATGTACAGACATGTAAGATCAACCATTTTGTCCATAAGACTGAGTAGGCTTAATGAAATTTGTGAACTAAGCTTTAATAAGATTGAACTTTAGTCAGAGCAAGAAAAATCTTTAGCTGTGGGTAATGAGAACCACTTAGACTCTACGTAGGATGACTGCATGGCTCTATTTTAGGCCATTCTTTCACTCTATCACCTACTTAAAGAAAAGGCCACCTGTTTAATGAAAAATTCTCTTAAGAAATAGAATGCATCAGGGCACCTGGTTGCCTCAGTTGATTGGGTGCCCGGCTCTTGATTTTGGCTCAGGTCATGGTCCCAGGGTGGTGGGGTTAGTCCTAAATTGGGCTTGATGTTAAGCGGGGAGCCTGCCTGAGATTCTCTCTCTCTCTCTCTCTCTCTCTCTCTCCCTCTCTCTGTCCCTCTGCCCCTCTGTCCCTATTCCATGAGCACAGGCTCTACATCTCTACAATAAAAAATTTTAAAAAGAACTAGAATATGTCTTAACTACATCATGTTTATATCTCTCAATACAAAATTATTCCATTGAAGACATATACTAAATGAAAAGAGCTGGAAACAAAAGGCTATAGACACTTTGACTCCATTTATCTGACTTAAAAAATATTTATTTATTTTGAGAGAAAGAAAGCAAGTGAGTGGGGGAGGGGCAGAGAGAGAGACTCCCAAGCAGGCTCCAGGCTCTGAGCAAGCTGTCAGCACAGAGTCTGATGTGGAGCTCAATCTCACAAACCATGAGATCATGACTTGGGCCAAAGTCAAGAGTCAGACACTCAACTGACTGAACCACCCAGGGGCCCCGTTTATATGACTTTCTGAAATGACAAAGCTATAGCGACAGAAAACTGATGAATGGGTTTCTGGGGGTGCTAGAGAGAGAGGCGACTGACTGCAAAGGGACAAGAGCATTATCTGGGTGAAGGTCTTCTTTATTTTCATGTGGTGGCTACACAGCTGTGTTTTTGCCTAGATTAATAGAACTCCATATAATTATTTTTGTGTGTCAATTTATTGTATGAAAATTATATCTCAGTAAGTCTGATTACTATATATAATAATATAAATGTGTGTGTGTGTGTGTGTGTGTGTGTGTGTATAGTTTTCAAAGTAAGTATGCCTCTGTGTCAGTGAGGGCACAGAAGCATGCACTTACCTGTATGTTGACCGAAAGCCCCAGTCCCTGGTTGTCAACCACAGCCACCGTCATGACAGTCTGGATCACCAAGGCAATGAAGGTGTTGATTCCAAATACCAAGGCATAGCGTTCCACACTGAGATTCACAGCGATCTGAAATCTAACATTATACAAATGGAAAGAGTTTTGAAAGCACACATATGTGGGCTTTTAAATACAGAGCAGGGAACTGTGTTGTTCCCAGGACTTGGCTCTCCTCAGGAAGCCCAGGCTTCTGTTGACAGTTTCTTGCTAAATGCTCTTCTAGAAGAGAAAAAGGAGCGAAGGGTAAGTATAGTGAAGTGTTGTATTTTAACATTCTGTGTGATGGGATATATTTTGAGAATTTAAAATGAATTAACCTTTTCTAAAATTGAACCAAATATCCAAATGTTCTGTAACTAGGGAGCACTGAACATTATTGGATGTGGATATGGTTTCCAAGTCACTTTTTAAAAAATGTTTATTTACTTTTGAGAGAAAGACAGAGCATGAATGGGGGAGGGGCAGAGAGAGAGGGAGACACAGGATCCGAAGCAGGCTCCAGGCTCTGAGCCATCAACACAGAGCCCGACACAGGGCTCAAACTCATGAGCCATGAGATCATGACCTGAGCCAAAGACAGATGCTTAAATGGCTGAGCCACCCAGGCGCCCCTATCAGTCACTTTTTAACGAAGACATATCAATGAGTAAATCATAAGTCACTTTGATGAGGTTTTACTTATTTGAAGATTGTTCACTGGATCACTGACTGTCTACATTAGCAGTTTCAGAGTCTAATAGGTGAATTTTTCTCTGGAAAACTCTCAAATTATTTTCTTTCACAGTTGACAGAAATCTGGCATTAGTTCATTTTAAATAACTTATTGGGTCTTAACGTTAGCCAGGCAAGACTTACATATATGCATTAGAATTGTTCCACTTACTTTAGCTAAAACAGTTATAACCTGAATCTATTTAAATATATGAAAACAAATGGAAAGTTTTGAGTATTTTTACATCCGCTCCCCCAGTCCACAGCAAAAAACAATACAAGCATTTAAAAATTATGTGATTCAATGAAAATGTATTGTTTCAGTGCAAAAACTTACCAACTAAACACAGCAAGACCCATAGATAATCCAAGATCCTGCAAAGTGAATATAACAGGTGGTCCAAATAAGCTTTATAATTTCAGGATTTTCTTGCTCAGGTAATAATTTTTCCTTTGGAAAAAAATGTTACACCAGATAGATGCCTTTGAAATTTAGATTAAGTCAAAGGGCAGATTCCCTTTTAGTATGCAAATTATTCCAGGTTGGATTCTTGATTTATTTTTGTTTGTTTGTTTGTTTTAACATTTGTTTACTCTGAGAGACACAGAGAGACAGAGCACGAGCTGGTGAGGGACAGAGAGAGAGAAACACACAGAATCCGAAACAGGTTCAGCACAGAGCCCAATGTGGGACTTGAACTCACAGACCGTGAGATCATGACCTGAGCCAAAGTCGAACACTTAACCACTGTGCCACCCGGGCACCCAGGAATCTTGATTTAATATGTACAGATGCATCAACAGCTTATCAGTGATTACTTGGTTTGAGATGAGACCTTTACATGTGGTAGATTCAAATGGAGACGTAATACATCAGGCTGAGAGTGGCATTGAATTGTAAGATTTTTCAGTCTAAACTCAAAAACTATTGTCCTGGGTACCTGAAATGACAAGTAATCATACTGTCTAAAATCTAATTTCAAAGCTCCTACTGAGTGGTTTCTATGTAGGCATAAAACAACCACTGCCCAGGACTAGTAAGTTCTTGGAAAGAGAATTTTATCATGTTCTTCTGTTAGGCATTTAGTGCTAAATATGGATGAGCCTCTGGGATAGTCTGTAATTTAAAAGATAGAACACTTTGAAATTCTATGTGATCATTTATGTTCCACATATGATTTTATGGGATTGGCATTTGCCAATTTACCTATAACTTAAAGGAAAGTAATAGCAACATTTTCTAAACCATTAAAAAACTACATTGAGTTGCCTGGATGGCTCAGTCAGTTAAGATTTTGTCCTTATTTTGGCTCAGGTCATGATCTCACAGTTCATGAGATCAAGCCTCACATCAGACTCTGTGTTAACAGCATGGAGCCTGCTTGGAATTCTCACCTTCCCTCTCTCTTTCCCTCTCTCTCTCACTGTCTCCCTCAAAAATAAATAAATGAACTTTAAAAATATATTAATTTCTGCCTATATAAAAATGGAATGGTTAAATTAAAAAAAATCAATAGTCCAACTTTTGTGTGTGTGTGTGTGTGTGTGTGTTTTAAGTTGTTAGGTTACTGTATTTCTTTTTTTTTTTTTTCAAGAAATGCTAACCAAATGCTTATCATGAAGCAAGAACTAGGGTAAACTCCAGGGCATACAATGAACAAGCTTGATTGTATCTTCACAGAGCTTATACTCCAACAGGGAATATTTAACTGGTACCAGATAACTGCTTTAACTAATATTTAATTAAATTTATCAGTTTTCATCATGAAAAAATATAGGTAGTAAATATCTTTTTCTAGAAAAATCAAATTATTTTTATGAACTTCTTGTATCACATGATGTTTGAAACTGTGTTTGGTCAATTATCTTAGAATTCTTTCCAAATCTGAACACTAACCTTTTGTATTAGAGATACATTTATCTAATGTTTGCTAAATTTAGTTTAAAATTTTCTCAGAAGTTGAAGTACTAACAAGATGTAAATGGAGTTATTGTGATTGGGTTCACCTACAGAGAAAATGATGTTGGATCAGTATTCTGAAGTTCAACATGTGAGTGATAATTTCATTTAGCACCAAATTTGACAGATCTATGAAGTCAAGTTCTCTTCTTTTCCCCACTGTGAGTGTGTATCCTGATATTAAGATACTATTTGTTGAGTGCTGTTCGGTAATTAGATAATCTAAATAGTGTAACGAAAGTTAATTATGTATCAAATAATTCTTCTCTTCACTAAACTTACAGTCACCTGACTGAATGGACAAATTAGATGAAGGATGATCATTGAGCTCTATGTAGAAAGTTCTGGACATACTATCTGGAAAAACCCTGACAGTCAGTGTATGAATTCCATCTCCACAGCCTCCCAGGGTCTCAGCATTCTTATTATTCATGTGGCTTAACCCTCTACTTCCTTATGTCTGTGAAAAATCATTCTGAGAATTTACCAATACACCAAAACATTTTGGTTGTGTTTTCTCTTAAGTCTTATATTCTGACAGTTAATCTTACTTTTTTTCCTTCAAATTTTCTTATTTGTTTCTTCAGCAGAACAATATTGACTTGCTTCATGGAATGCAATAGAAATGCAGCTGGCTATGAACCAATCTGTTCTGAAATATTCGAGAATAATACTTTTATCTTTTCATTGTGTAGAAGGTGTGGTCAGAAACAGCACAAATAACTCTGAAAACATATTTTTACTAACTTTCAGGTTCTCCGTTTCCTTAAAAATAGCCATTGAGCATTAAACCAAACTGATTTAGGTTGGGCTTGAGTTCTTTTTCTTACTCAAGAGTTAGATTGCTAAAAGAAAACAAAACATTTCAAATATTTTCTAAAATAAAAGCGAGAGAAGATAGAGATCTCCTTGTTAGGATGTTGAAGGTCAGAAAAGACTGAAATTACAATAAGAAAATAACAGGGTAAGCCAAAAATCATGCTATCCCATTAAGAAAACATAAGTATAGTCAAACTGCTGAAAATCAAATAAAAAGAGAAAGTCTTAGAAGCAGCCCAGAGCAAAATTATCATCACATTTAGGGGAACAACAATGGGAATGATAACTAACTCCTTAATGCGAGCTGGAAGACAATGGAATAATAAATCTTGAATGTGCTGAAAAGAAAAACAAAACAAAACAAAACACTATCAACTAAGAATTCTGATCAGCCAAACAGTACTTAAAAATGACAGCAAACTTCATTTTTAAATACATAAAAGTTGAGAGAAATTGTCACCAGGAGGTCTGTACTACAAGAAATGTTAAAAGAAGTTGTCAGGGGTGCCTGGGTGGCTCAGTCAGTTAAGCGTCCGACTTCGGCTCAGGTCATGATCTCACAGTCTGTGGGTTTGAGCCCAGAGCCAGTCTCTGTGCTTACAGCTCAAAGCCTGGAGCCTGCTTCATATTCTGTGTCTCCCTCTCTCTCTGCCCTCCCCTGCTCACCCTCTGTTCTCAAAAGGAAGACATTAAAAAAAAAAGTTGTCAGGCTGAAAGGAACCAACAGCAGATGGAAACTTGGATCTATAGAAAGAAATGAGAAGTATTGGGAATGATAAATCCATGAGCAAACATAAAAGATTATTTTTTCTTGCCTTAATTTTTAAAAGATAATTATCATTTTATAGCAAATGGAATACTAATGTACTGTAGGGTTTATAACAGTTATTGAAATACAATCTATGAAACAGTACAAAGGATGGGGAGTAAATGAAATTATGTTGCTCTAAAGTATTTATACATTAAGTGGCATAACATTAATTGAAGGAAAACTGATGAGTTAAAAACCTAATGCCACTAAAAACATAAAAACTTAGCCAAGAAAAACCAATAGAGAAAGTAAAATGGAATTAAAAAGAAAGCCCAATTAACTTAAAAAAAAAGAATAAAGACTAACGAACAGGTAGGACAGAGAGCAAACAAATGACAAAGTGGTAGACTTAAACCTAACCATATGTTATATGGAGTTCACAGGTAAGCTTCTTGAATGTGTAAATTAATGTTTTAAATTAATATATTTATAGTGTCTTTGATATGTCAATTAATGCTTTTCATCAAATTTGGGATCTTTTTGGCCATTATGTCTTTACATGTTGTTTCTTCCTCTTTATGTTCTCCTCTTCTGGGACTCCATAATGCGTATATGGATACACTTCATGGGGTTCCACAAGCCTCTAAAAAAAAGTTTAAGGCCAAAAAGCACACTCAACATTATGCAGCTGATAATGTTAGGTCAGGGAAAATATTTCAGATGCTTGGTTTATCACTGATCAACTTCCTAATTAAAATTAAACACATTACCACATAGGAAATGAGGAGCAACCCCTACCTAATCCTCTAGGTATTCTCTATGCAACACCCATCACCTCTTTAGCTCATTTTCTTTCCTTTTTAGTTAATCTAGATCAAATACTTCCATGTTTAAACCACTGTATGATTTAACGTTTATTATATTTATGTGCAGTTTTATAGAACAGCTTCTCCTCTACAACTGCTCCTTGATTGGTTGATAATTTGTTTCAAAATGAAATAGGTGTGCTATGAATATTCAAGCAGGTATAGAACATTGGGAGTGAAAACTAACTTACTCAAAATTTATTATTTATTTATTTATTACATTTATTTATTTTTGAGAGACAGAGAGAGGCAGAGCACAAGTGGGAGAAGGGCAGAGAGAGGGAGACACAGAATCGGAGGCAGGCTCCAGGCTCTGAGCCGTCAGCACAGAGCCCAATGGGGGGCTTGAACCCAGAAACCATGAGATCATGACCTGAGCTGAAGTCGGACGCCTAACCGACTGAGCCACCCAAGTGCCTCTAACTTAGCCAAAATTTAGATATAATCACATATTTTTATATTATTGCAAAAAAAAAACCCCACCAAAATCAAAGTGCAAAAATTGGAACACTGGTACACTGCTGGTGGGAATACAAAATAGTGCAGCCACTATGGAAAACAGTATGGAGGTTCCTCATCGAGATAAAAATAGAACTACCCTACAATCTAGAAATTCCCACGTCTGAGTATGTATCCAAAATCATTGAAATTAGGATCTAGAAGAGATATGAACACTCCCATGTTTATTACAGGGCTATTCTCAATAGCCAGATGTGAATAAAGAAAATGTGGCATATACATACAGATGACTATTATTTGCCCTTAAAAAGAAGGAAATCCTGCCACATGGGACAATGTGGATGAAGCTTGGGAACATTCTGCTACATAAAATGTCAGTCAAAAAAGGACAAATGTTGCATGATTCCATTTATGTGAGTTGTCAAAAGTAATCAAATTCATAGAAGCAAAGAATAGAATGGTGGTTTCCAGGAGCTGGGTGGAGGGGACATGAAGAGTTGCTACTTAATGTGTGTAAATACGTATCTTCCAGTGATGCGACATAAATACTTTCTAGCGGTCTGATGTCCAACATTGTGCCTATAAATAGCAATACTGTAGTGTACACTTAAAAGTCGGCTAAGAGGCATAGATCTCATGTTGTGTTTTTTTTTTAAATTTTTTTTTTTAGTGTTTTTTATTTATTTCTAGGAGAGAGAGAGAGAGAGAGACAACGTGAGCAGGGGAGGGTCAGAGAGAGAGGGAGTCACAGACTGAAACAAGCTCCAGGCTCTGAGCTGGCAGTCAGCACAGAGCCCAACGTGGGGCTCGAACCCACGAACCGCGAGATCATGACCTAAGCGAAAGTCGGACGCTTAACCGACCAAGCCACCCAGGCGCCCCTCATGTTGTGTTTTTCTAAAATTAAAAAAAGAGGACCACAAAAGAAAAAAATCAATAAGATTGTTCCATTAAGTAAATAAAAGATAGGAAAGATAAAAAATCAAAATGTAAGAGCATATCACTATTTATTATTTGTGAGAACTTTGAATTCTCTGTCTGATTAATAACTTTAATCAAGTCCCAAGAGAAAGTGGGTTAAAATAAGAATATAGTTCTATTGTCTCTTATTTTTTAAGTTAGTGAGTTAGTTAGTTTATTTGTTTGTTTGTTTGTTTGTTTGTTTAGAAGGAGGAGCAGGGAAAGAGGGAGATAGAGAATCCCAAGAAGGCCCCAGGCTATTAGTGAAGTCCAACACAGGGCTCAAGCTCAAAAACAGTGAGATCATGACCTGAGCTGAAACCAAGAGTCCAAAGCTTAACCGACTAAGCCACCCAGGTGCCTCCCACCCTGACCCCGTTGTCTCTTATATTAAGCATTAAATATAACATTGTAAATACCATTCAGAAGAACTGGAAGAATAAATAAATGTATTTTGTTGCTTCAGATTTAGATAAAGGAAGACATGATAATTACTTACGCTGCTATCGTTATGAGAAGCATGTAACTTGACTTGAATATCAAAAAACCAGCATAGCACACCCAAATATTAGTTGTGTAATGCATGAGAAGCAGAGAACCTGCATCTGCTGCTGAGAACATCGCCAGAGCCAACTCTCCCAGAAGATTCCAATTGACTTTCACACAGCCCGCTGTGAAGGCTGCCAGAGCCCCTGGAAAGAAAGGAATCAACATATATTACATCTTGCCATTCCATGCACAACGCAGTAGCGTACTGCTTTGTTAAAATTCACATTGGATAGAAATTGAAGCATTTCTAGGCTTTGGTAAAGAAAAATATTGACTTATTGTGAACATTGATTAAATGAAAATCACTTGATCCAGCTTTGTGAAATGTACATATCTTTTCCTCTTAAAGGTTGAAATAGATCAACTGAATTTGGATGTCTGGAAATCACAGACTGGAATGGACCCATAGAGCCTTTTTTTTTCTTTATTCTTCCCTTTGCAAAGATAAAACTCCGGCTCAGAAATCTGGTGTCAAACAAACACAAATTCAGACTTTGATAGGGAGAGGCTTTATGTAGAAGAAAGACTTGCAATTGAACATTCTGATTGTCAAAAATCTGCAAGCATCTTGAAATCAGACAGAAATAGGATTTTCTTTTATAGGGTAATCCTTCACTGTAGGGCAAGCAGACGGAAGCAGGATCTTTGAAAGGGAAGCTAGTCAAGGAAGGGGAAATGATCAGGGGAGTCTGACGGAAGTGTCCTGCTGTGGTTGGCTAATCTTCAGGAGAAACCGATGGGGGCTGGGGCACATTCCATGTTGTGTTGTGTTTGCGCAGAGTTGGAGCAGGCAGAATGTTCAGGGAACTGTAGTAAGTAGAGGAACCTGACTAAAGTTCAGTCAAGACAAAGCAAAGTGTAAGGAATGGTAAATCGGGAATACTTGGTGACCTAGTGAGACCCCAGTTCTTCAAACCGAATGCCCGCTACTGTTGTCATATTATGGATATTCTAGCAAGACTCTCACTGTGTCCCTGTCTCTGTTTACTTTATCTTTTCTATAACACTGATTTAAAAATTTCCTCTAGTTCCTGACAGATACCAAACTTCTTTTAAAGAATTCTCTCCAGATACTTTCCCACCATTTGTTGGTTTGACCATTCCCCTTTTAACCTGTTCACGCATTCATTCACCTACTCACCCATCGAATGTTTGGAGCTTCACTGTGGGAAAATATGGTGGTAAATTTTGGATCCTTGTTCTTGAAAATAGTACAGCCTACTGGAGAAATGGGATCTATCAATTTATAGTTTTAATAAGAGTGTGATAAGGATTTTAAAAACACAGACTAATTCAAATTTAAACAAACCATAACCTAATGGTCCTCATATGGGTGTTTTGCCTTTCAGGGGACAGATGGCAATATTTGAAGACAACTTTGGTTTTCATGACTTGGCAGGGGTGTTTGTGGTGGTGGTGGTGGTGGTGGTGGTGGTGGTATGCTAACAGGATCCGGTGGGTTAAAACCAGTGATGCTGCAGAACATCTTACAATGCACAGGACAGCCCCCCACAACAAAGAATTTCCCCATCCAAAATGCCAATATTATTGAGGATGAGAAACTTTGACCTATGCCCAACATGTAGCCTCAAGACGTATCCTTAGGACAAATCCATATAATGTGCACTATATACACGTACTTATAATATGTTCCTATAATGTGCTGTGAACAAAGGAATTATATGTCAGCTTTCTTACTACCTTTAGCTTTCTTTCTTAAAGACACAGTTAACCTCACTTTACACGAGGTCTTAACTCAGCAAACCACTCGTACTTCACCTGGTTTTGCCTAAAAATTTGACACTAATTAGGACCTTCGCTATGACAAAGAGACTAAAGAATAGTTGTGTGTAGGGGGCTTTTAGAGAATAAATTTTATGAACACTTTACCTTTTCTGCACATTATCTGAAGAGAAGAGGATTTTTTTCCCCTCTTCTCTCCAGGAGCAAGTCCTTAGAGAGGAAACGGGTTTAAGGTAAACAAATCCTAGAACAGGTTTCTAGGAGCCAAAATGGAATTTTTTAGAAAGGGAAACGAGAAGAATATTACCTCAACAATGGACCCTGAAATGTTCAATAAATATGTGGGTGTGGAATACCCCAACTTCAAAAATAATATCTTCAAAGTCTTATTTGATGTGAAAGCTTTGTTATGTCAGGAAAACCCATGTGCATTGTTGGGCTCACTTCAAAGACGGCTCTGGGCTCTACCCTTCTGACTTTAGAACATTAACTCTTGTGTCAGCCCACCTTCCCTCACTCTCTTCAGCTCACTCCCTTTGGACAAGTATTTCAAACTGTACAAAATATGTTGTGAGAAAAATGAAGAGTCCATGGACAGAATCTAGAATCCACCAAAACTGCTGTAGCTTCTCAGCCAGTAGGGAAATTTTTCAAAAGGACAAAGCCCGGGACAGGGTTGAAGGGTGAATCCAGTGGCAGAAGTTGGAAACACTCAATCCCCCAGAGACCTTCTCAAGGTCTTTCAGTCTTGTTGCCTCTTTCCTGTGGGACAAAATGCAGTATCAGAAATCCATCTATGGGTAAATAAGGTTGAAACAGACACTTACCAGTCAGCCCAAGGAGAAGCAATAAATACTCAGGAACACACATATTCTCTTGAAAGGCCCGCCTCTGCCACCATGTCACATCATGTACCCCTTCCTACTACTCTTTGTCTTTTGCTGCCATTTTCTCCAGAATCAAAGATTCAGGGCTATTGTGGAGGGACACAGTGCTTACTGGCTCTTACTAAATATTTGAATGAAAGTATAATATGTATGAAAGGCCAGAGAGAAAATTATACAATACAATAACCTGGCTGCAGAGAAGAGATAGGGTAGAAGATTGTAAGAATCTGGTCTGGATTCACTATTATTCTAGCAAATATTTGGATTTGGTAAGGAATGGGGAAGCTGAGTATGGAAAATAATCTTAATTAGAAGACAACAAGCTTTGGAAAATGCCCATGAAGAGTGAAGGAAATATATAAATGCATTATTTAAGTTGTCTTAATGGGAACCTCTGAAATGATAAAATAGCTCTTAAGACATTAGCTTTCAAACTTCTTTGACCATAAACTGAAAAAAAATATTTTATATGTCCACCAGTACATTTACATGTGTGCGTAAACAGAATTTTTATGAAATGAAACTTATCCTAATAAGCCATTATGCTCCCTATTCTCCTATTCTATTCTATTCTATTTTATTCTATTCTATTCTATTCCGTTCTGTTCCATTTCTTTTGGTTGCACTGCATTGCATTGCATTCCAATCCATTCCATTCCATTCTAAATTTTTCTGTTCTGTTCTTTGATTTCAAAATGCTGGTTAGATTCCACTACATTAATTTCAAGATCTATATTCTATAAAGGTCCAAATAGTAAATATTTTAGGCTTGTGGGCCACATAGCCTTCTTTGTTTTTCTTCGGTTGCTTGCCTGGATTTATTATTTTTACAACTCTTGTCATATATTGTTCTTTCCCCTTACAACCTCTTAAAAATGTAAAAACTATTAGCTTTGGTGGGCCATGGGCCATTGTTTGCCCACTTCTTTTTTGTTTTTTAATTTTTTTAATGTTTTATTTATTTTTGAGAGAGAGAGAGAGACAGAGTATGAGCAGGAGAGGGGCAGAGAGAGAGGGAGACAGAATCTATGAAGCAGGCTCCAGGCTCTGAGCTGCCAGCACAGGACCTGACATGGGGCTCGAACTCGTGAACCATGAGATCGTGACCTGAGCCAAAGCCAGATGCCCAATTGACTGAGCCACTCAGGTGCCCCTGTTTGCCCACTTCTATTAATGGTTTGCAAACCATAGTTTAAAGGCTAGTGTTACAGAGAGGTCAGAGAGGAAAACGATTTGGTAGTTTTACCTTAAACTGTTCAACTCTTTATGGCCAAGCCAGCTTTGGCCAGTGGGACAGAAATTCACAGTCTCTATTTTTAGGGATGGGTTAAACTATTTTCCATGGATAGCTTCATCAATCTTCCCTTATATTCATTGCCTTTTAAAAATGTTGTGACAGAAATGCTTTTCTTTTTCCAAATATTTGGTATTCACTATTGAAACCTCTACAACCAATCCCTCCAAGACTACGATTTGAAAAAATATATTTCCCACACATTGAAGAGAGAAAGTCTGGTGGACCCACCTCCAAAGGTTGCAAGGGCTTCTACTGCCCCATTATAAATTGCAGAGCTCTGGGATGGTGCCTTGTAATCCCACAGGATTTGAACGTAGTTCAGAACCTGGTTAAAACCTGCCGTGGAGAAGGCCCACCACAGGGACCAGTAAAAAAGATGCCTTGAGGAGTAACAACCCTTCAAATCTTGGAACCACTGCACAAAAACTCTCAATGTTACATTTTCTGGCTTCGGATTGGTCAATGGACTGTCACCCAGGTTCCCTGAAAAGGTGAATAATCCTTTGCAGACAGGTGTGTGATCCTTTTGTGGTTCCTTTGAGAAAGCATCCTTTCCTGGCGGCTGGGGAGGGGCTCCTTGGCTGGGTTTTACATGAAAAAACATGCTCTTCTCAGGCATCGGTAGGAAAAGTGAGAAAAGAAAGGCCACAGAGACGGAGACCAAGGATATGACGTTGAGGTAAAAGTAAGACAGGCTGGCCAGGGACGCCAGGAGCTGGGCCAGCACCGAGGCCAGCGTGTAGGCCACCAGCGTGACGCTCCGTCAGTAGCCGCTCACTTTCTGGTAGTGCTCTGGGCTGACCACGCTGTAAATGTAGGCATAGTAGGCCACCTCGGTGGCGGTGACCATCCCATAGAAGAACTCTACAACCTGCATGGCCTTCACTCCCTGGCCAAACAGGAGCAGCAGCCAGGTGATGATGAAGCTGATCCCTTGTAGGATGATGACTGGCTTGTAGCGGACGTAATCGGTGAGGATGAACACTGGGAGCAGGAGGGCCAGGTAAGAGTAGGTCCAGATGGGAAGGATCTCGTTTGTGATCTGTGAGATTCAACAGGGAGGGTATGAGGACAAAGGCATGAGGAAGTGAAACACACCTGACATATTTTATCCAGATGACATGTATCAATCCTAGGAAACCATTGCTGCACCCCCATCAATTTATATTTCGCAGGACTTTCTGACAATATGATGGAAAGCAATGGGAAACTGAAGCTCAAGGAGACGAAATCCAGATATCATGGAAATTCATAACATGTGGATTCCTTCCTCCAGGTATAAAGAGGAAGTTCCTAGTTATCTGCATCTTACACTTTTAAAATCTAGTATGATCTGCATATGCTACTGAGACTGAGAAAAGAGGCCGTAATGCATAGGTTAAGCTCGACAGTGTTTCCCAGGCAGCTTAGGGCTGCTCGGGTGCTGTTCCTGTACATTTAAAATAGTTTCCTGTTCTTCAACAAGGTTAAAAGGAGTCAGGCAGAACCTGACCATATTTACCTTTGATCTACATCAGTGTGTAAAATGTGCAGACCATCAGGTTATCATCTGGGTGATCAGGAAAATAAGGAACAAATGGCCAGTTCAAGACTCAATGTCAGAAGAAGGAATCTGTTCTTCGGTTCTTCTGCATTCTTGGCCTTACTTTCTTGGGCTGCTTTGGAGGCATCAAAACCCAAACCAAACTGCTTAGCGTCTTGTCTCTCTCTTGTTCAAATCAGCTTTGGCCATGATTTTCCAGGGAACACTGGTTATATCAGCAAATCATCTGAGCCCATTGATAGTACATGATTATTTCAGCTTCTTTAAGTGGAGTCTATAGCAGAGAGAAGATGAAGTAAAGAAGGCTGATAAACCCTCTTTTGAGGGCTCTTTGGCCCTCTCAAATCCTAGGATCTCAGATCACTGACATAAACCCAGGGACTTATTGAGCCTAAGAGTGTCCTTTGTTTTGACCTAATCTGTGACTTGCCCCTTGAGTTCCTAGGTCACTTTTTACTTAAGTGTTTTCACAGTTTGGTAGAACTTTATTCTTGTTCTTCCTGACACTCAGGGGTAGTCACTAACCCAAGAGAAGATACATTCCAGATCTGCTTTTTTTGTGACCATCTCTGGAGTTTAAATCTAGCCCAGGGCTCTCCCTGTCAAACCTGTTTGCACGTAAAGGCATTCAAGATTGGCATGTGCTTTTTTTTATTGGGAGGGAAAATGGTGGATTGGTTTAGAAGGCAGTTTCCTTGGGGTTGGGTAGGGACATAAGAATGGTTGCTGGGAGAGGGTGGCCAAGAAGGATACAATTGTTATGTCCGTAACAGGTGTGACATTTATTTTCCTGAAGAAATCGAACTGATGCAGTGCTTTGTCTGATCTTGTTACTGTTTGGTGGCTTAAAGTGGCGATTCCCAAATTTTAGTGCAGATCAGATTCACCTGGAGGGTTTGTTAAAAACCAGACATTCAGACTCCGTACATCTGGAGTGGGGTCTGAAAATGAACATTTCTAACAAGTTCCCAGGGGACACTGGTGCACTGGTCTGAGGACCACACTTTGAGAACCACTAACTAACAGGCTCCTTTAGGATTAGATCCTCTGACCTGACTAAAAGCTAACAACAGCCTTAATATTTATATGTAAAGAGGCAAAAAAAAATCTTTGGGGACTTTCTCAGATGCTTTTTCATAACGTTTCCCCTCCAAGTCTTATACTATACTGCAAGGTTTGTATTTATAACTAGGGGTGGGTTATTTTAAAAGGTTTGTGATAGTAAGCGATAATGTATTATTATTATATTATTTTTGTACAAAAATATTTTTTGGAGTATTATTTTTGTACAGCTGAAAGGTTGTTTTGAAATCACCCTATTTTTTGTTGTACCCAAAAGGTTTACATTTTTGCACGACAAATATACAGGAGATATGAAGACCCGTTTGTTCGCATTTGAGTTTTGTAAGAAGTTCTGATAATTTGCTTTGACCCAAAACTTTAGACATCAGTTTTAACAAGACATAAAACTAAGATAAGCATGTTAGTAATCTTACCGTGCTGAGGCTTATATTTTTATCTGGTCCTGCTAAATAAGGAATAACAAAAGGCTCTGATGGCTTCATCATTGAGAAAAATCCAAAGCAGCAGAGGCTGACTGTGGGGAAAACCCAGGAATGGCTGGGTGACGGTCGGCAACAATTCATGGATGGTTACACTGCAAAAAAAAAAAAAAAAAAAGCAAGTCGGAGGATTGATCACTTATTTTCATAAGACTTATGTTCCCTTGCCCATGTTTCACTTGTCCTTTGGTCTTAAAAAGGAAAAATTGAAAATCATTGCGACAGTGAATAGATATCACAGGTCAAAACACAGGAACTTGAGTCGTGTCTTTGCGCTTCTTGGTTTAAAGAGAAAACTAACGATTATTTGAAAACGTTGCAGTAGGGATTAAATTTCATCCCAACTGGAAGGGCAAGGTCACTGTTGAAAAACTACTCCCCCAGCATAACAAGGCAGTCAGTCTCGCTCTCCTGTAAACTTTCACAGTAGAAAAAAAGTCAGGGAATTTCTCCTAAGGCAGAAGTCTTGGGGATAAGATAAGATTGGTGGAATTTTGATAGACACAGTTGCTAAGCAAACATCTGCTTCGCTCCCTATCGTGAGTCTATTTCCCTGTAGCAGTTGATGACCTGGAAACTCATTTTAATGAGTGCTTTAAAATGGTGAATAAAATAGCCCTTGGGGGAGTAAAGATTTATAAAGCAGATAGATCCTTTACTTTGTCTAAGTATTGAATTCAAAGTGAACATTGGTTTAGTGTCAAAAGGCTCACCTAATTAAAACTGTCACCCACCCAGGTGATTTGGTTTGTTTTTAATACCTATCTTCAGAAGAGTTACATGACAATGTTGCATCATAGGTGAAATTCAGTTGTACTTAAAAGTATTTTACTGAGTTGATATTTTGTTCCTGCTCTATTTTTTCCCACTTATGTTGTTAATACTGAAATGTCAGAACTTACGTCCAAGAGGATAAACCTTCAGTTGGCTGACTGAAGGAAGACATGGGTAGCCTGTAGAAAGGCAATCCACTGCTCTGAGAGAATCTGACTCTCCCAGGCATTGACCGTTTCCTTCGGGAAGCTTCCCAACCCTCTCTAGCTGCTTTCCTGTCTTAGTCTATGCTTAGTCTATGCTTAGTCTATGCTCTCAGTTACAGCCCTGGTGAGGCATTATGGCCTGGAGGTCAAGGGCAGGGCTCTGGAGTCAATACGGTCCAAATTTTTCTCTGCTACTTACAGCCATGTAAACTTTGGCGAGTTACTGGATCACTTCGGTATCTCAGATTTCTCATCTGTAAATAGGGATAATAATACCTGTCTAGTGTTGTGAAGATTACACACATTAGTACATGTTATGCAGTCTGTAGTATGAATGGCTTTCAGAAGCACTGATGTATTGACATGCACATCTGCTAGTTAGCCTGGGAGTTCTGTGGGGGCAGGGATTCCTTTCTATCACTGAGTTTAGCACAGAGTCATATACATCAAATGTCTCCCAGAAATATTTGTTGAAAGTACATGCATTGGACCAAACAGGTTTTCTGAGAAGAAAAATTCAAATAATAATAAGGAGATGGTTCCCAAGTATTCTGGTTATTTAAAGCTGTTCTTTGGAGTGGGAACTACAAGCCACCATTTGATTTTCAGGAATATGGAAGTTACTTTTTGGAATAATGGAAGGAGATTCCTGGTGAGAAGAACACGGGCTTTGCAGTTGAGCAAATTCAGATCTCCAATCCACGTTCCGAGTTGTGTGAACTGGACACGTCTCTTAATGGTCAGAAGCCTCAGTTTTCCTCACCTGTGCAGGTGGATGATTTCCCATTCTACCCCAAATGTTGGCAGCCAGTGTGTCAAAGAATGTTGATCTCAAAATGGGTGGATTGGTTGGTTTGACTAGATATGGAACCTGTTACCATCGCAATGGAAAGGTTCACATAACAAGTGGTCATATGGAGAAATAGCTAAAACAAACTTGAACATGGAATTTGGACTACTGGTGTAAGGATGGGCTCCAAGTTCGCCCCCTGCTGGTATCTTCACTTATTGCAAAAGGACAGGGTGATTTGATCTTTGTGGTGTTTTGCTTGCATAGACCTTTCAGATTGGACAACTTTCCTTACAGCCTGTGGAAAACTAATGGCTCCCTAGAAAGAAACTTGAAACACCAGGCGAACACTATTCCTTGATATGAGGTCTCTGCTGAGATTGAAGAGAGCGAAGAACCCAACATGAAAGATTGCAAACATTCCTTCTAAGACCTTGTTTTTTAATCCCAAGGCATTTTTCTCTTTTTAAAATTAATGGTGGAGTTGAAAGATTGCAAACATTCCTTCCTCAGACCTCGTTTTTTAATCCCAAGGTATTTTTCTCTTTTTAAAATTAATGGTGGAGTTACTGATTTAAAAGGGCAAACTACTGAATTTACAATCCCAGGTTATCTTAGTGGTGTGGTTGTTAATAGTTCAAGCAGGTGATAATTCTTAGTTGATTTTTAACCTGTTGCTTCAAAGGTCATTGGAAATCAGTTAAAACTTTACCAGACTGATGCTCTGATTTGCTCCGAGTTCTGTCCAAATGCAAATTTCTAGTCTTCCTGAGGGTTCTGGGTGAGGTAATGCAGTGGCCTTCTGTTTCAGGACACAGGTCTCTTTCAGCTGCTTCAGGTGAGGAGCCTGAAGCCACTTCGTGGAACTGGGGTACTGGGGGCACTGGGTGGGCATCTAATAACCACCCCAGCTGTTACTGTGATGTGGGCCTTCTGATATATGCTTTCTCTGTTGTACTAACCATAGCTGGCTGAACTTACCCGAATCCCTTCGCCTCTCTGAGTCCCACTGATTACAAGAAGGTAACAATGATCTACTCTAGTGTTTCCGAGGAGTAAATGAGGTCAACAGGAGAGGACTCGGGGCTCTGCCTAACGCAATAAATACCAGGGTTTCCCCCAGCCTGTCTTTGAGAATCTGGTCTAGTCCCATGACTCAGGAAATCACAAGACCAATAAATTGCTGATTAATTAATGGTTCATAATGATAGTCCCAGCCAAGTTGAATTGTTGATCGTCAGTACAAAATGTATAATAAATAATTTCAAAATTATTTCAAGAGAATAAGAAGACACTGGAAAAGTAAGTTTTCAGTTTGAGAATTAGATTTGCAAGGAAAACTATTTCTTTAAGGACTTAAATTGTCATTAAGCCCTTTATAAATACTAACTTACATATGAGAGGTCATAAATCATACATATTTGCCTTTTAACCTGGCCTTTATGATCGGGCCATTACAGAGAACACTTAATCAGTTTAGTTGGGTTCTGCTCTAAATACATGCCGTCCACACCTATTCTTCTCCATGCAGATGTTTTACTAAATTCATTTACCTTCTCCTCTAAATTAGTGATCATTTACTGTATATACTTTTTAAAGAATTAAGAGAAAATGATCTCTATGATCCAGCTCACCATGACTCAGTATTAAAAGTGTTGTTTTTTGGGCACCTGGGGGGCTCAGTCAGTTAAGTGTCCAGCTTCAGCTCAGGTCATGATCTTGCAGTCCGTGAGTTTGAGCCCACATTGGGCTCTATGTTGACAGCTCAGAGCCTGAAACCTGCTTCAGATTCTGTCTCCCTCTGTCTCTGCCCCTTCCCTGCCATGCTCTGTCTCTCTCTGTCTCAAAAATAAACATTAAAATAATTTTTTAAATGTTGTTTTTTAAAATCTAGACTACTTAAATGCACTCTCCATGCAACATTTTCCATCTGGACCTTGCTCTGCCCTTTTTAACCAGCAGTGTTGGTTAATACACACTGACCACGTAGCCTCATCATTTTTAATGGTGATTTGACAGATTTCTTTCTAGTTGACTTTCAACAGCCACATCACTCAACTTGCTGTTTGGAGGCTGTCAGGCAGGGCTAGGGACTCATTTCAAAGGCACACTTCCCTTGCATCCAGGAAATCATGAGGATTAATGAATTGTTGATACCAGTGTTGGTGCTGAGAAGGGATGTGGTTTGTAACAAATATGTAAAAATGTGGAAGTGGCTTTGGAACTGGATAATGGGTAGAGGCTAGAAGAATTTTGAGGTTTTGATAGAAAAAACTTAGAATGGCTTGAAGAGATTGTTGGTAGAAATACTGCTGTTTAAGGCAATTCTGTTGAGGGCTCAGAAGGAAGAGAGGAGGGCTATGGAGAAAGGGTCTATTGCCTTAAAGAGGACGTATAGCACCAGGAACAGAATGTGGCTAGAAATAGAAATGGTAAAGGTGCTTCTGGTGATGTCCCAGATGGAAAGGAGAAACGTGTTATTGGACACTGGAGGAAAGGTGATTTTTATTAGAAAACAGCAGGGAACATGTTTGAATTATGTTCTGTCTTTGGAAGGAAAATAGAAGTTGTAAAGCAACAAAACTGGATATTTTGCTTGGAGGGTTCTGAGCAGTGTTGGAGGTGCAGCCAGGCTTCTTCTTGCTGCTTACAGTAAAATATGAGGGAAAGGAAAGAAACTGAGGAAGGAACGGCAAAGCAAAAGGAACCACTCCTCAATGAGTTGGAAGACTCTCAGCCCATCTAGATGGGATATGTTACAAACAGCACCAAGAACGTAGCTGGACAGTCATTGCTAAAGAGCTCAGGTGTGTGGTTAATGGATGCAATGAAGCATCTTAGCAGAAGCTGGGAATGGAGCTGATGTTCTCCAGGAAAGCTCCATGGAGGTCTCTCTGGTCTGATGGTTTGAGCCTCTCTGAATGGCACAGGGTTCTGACAGATCTTTGAGAATTTTATATCCACAGAATCACTACCAGCTTGGACTAACAGGGGCAGGGGCGGCATGAAATGAGAAAAGAATGGCTCTGAAGGCAAAGGCACAGATGTAGAAATTGGGGCTGATGAGATCCCCTCAAGGCCAACATGGGGAGGCTGCCACCCTATCAGACCCAGAGGACAGAGCATCGAGCCACACAGGATTATTCTCAGGGCTTGAAATCTGATTGAACTTGCCCTGATAATTGTTAAGACTTCCTTAGGACCCGTTTCTCCTGGTTTTTTCTTTCTTTTTTCCTTTCAATTTCTCCTATTTGGAAAGAAAATGTCTACCCTATCTGGTGATATTGCATTCTGTAAGCAGATACCTTGTTCTCTGGTTCACAGA